GCTTTGTGCTTGTGAAGCACTTTTGAAAATAAAAAGGAATTTGTGCTTGAAATTGAAGCACTTTGATAGAGGGCTTAGGGCTTAGTGCTTCAAGCCCTTTTACTGAGGGCTTTGCCCAGCTCTGTGACCTTGTCATCAGTTTTCATAAGACCATCCTTCGTGATTCTATGGCCTAAATACGTCACAGATGGCTGAAAAAATGAACATTTACTTAATTTTACCGTCAACCCTGCATTTTTAAGCTTGTTTAGGACTTTTTCTAATGTTTCCAGATGTTTTTCCCGACTGTTTCCCGTGATGATGATGTCGTCGATATATACAGCTACGTTTTCTACGCCCTGTAGAATTTGTTCGATGTACCGCTGGAATTTGCTACTAGCAGGTGCTATTCCAAATGGCATTCGGTTCATTTGCAGTAAGCCCTTGTGTGTCGACCATACTAAAAGTTTTTTAGCTTCATCATCCAACTCGAATTGATTGTATGCTTGACATAGATCCAGCTTCGTAAATTCCTCTCCATTATGTAATTTGGCGAATAAGTCTTCGGCCCTTGGTAAAGGATATACGTCTTCTTTCAAGTACTTATTGACAGTGGACTTATAGTCGGCGCAGATGCGTATTTTTCCGTCTGACTTGATTATGGGTACAAGGGGTGTCGCCCAGTCGCTGGTCTCTATTGGTGTCAAAATACCTTCGTCAATCATCTGGTTTAATTGCTCATCTAGGGGTTTTTGGTAGGCAAGGGGAACCGACCTAGGTCTGAGAAAAACTGGATTAGCTCTTTCATCTAGCTTTAACGAAATTTTGCTGTGTTTAAAATGCCCTAACTTATCAGTGAATACATCAGAATACCTCTCAGTCAATTTTTGAATTTCCTTGTTTACAGCTGAAATATTTAAACCATTATCTATTATATTTATCATTTTAATTTTTAAATTGAAAGCCCTTAGGAAATCTCTACCTAAAATGCACGGACCACCATTGGGTACCACATGAAATTTTATGTCCCTACAAACATTTAAATAAAATACATTTACAACAAAAAATCCCAACGGCGCAAAAACACTACCATTGTAGCTTCTAAGGATAGTATCATCTTTGTTTACATTATATTTATTTTCAAAACAATTTTTATAAATATTTTCGTTCATACAGCTGACAGAGCTACCTGAATCCAATAACATATTGAAATTTTGATTATTTATTTTAATGTTTACTCTAAAGTCATTGTCTTTATCACTGTTACTTAATACATTGAACAAAGGTCTATCATTTACTTCATTGTTTACATAATCGTTTGCGCCTGATGGGTTTGAATCTACTGCTACGTACCTCAGGTCTTCTTTATCTTCTTCCTCCATGTAATTTACCTGTTTTCTTCGGCATACCTTCGCCAGATGACCTCTTTTTCCGCATTTGTCGCAACCATGATTTCTAAACTTGCATAAACCACGGTGTTTGTTTCCACAAATCTTGCAACCAGCGTGATAACTGTCATCTTGATGTCGGTTGTCGTTTCTGTTCCTTCTGTCAGTTCTGTCACCATCAACGTCATTCCCATTCGCCCTACTGAAGTTTCTATTTTGACCGCTGCGCATGCGATGTTGCGATTGGCTTCCTCCTCCTCGGTTTGCGCCATGGCCATGATTGCGCGGTTTTTTAAGGAAAAGGATGTCGGATGGAAAATGGCGGACATTTGCACTCTCACGTTGCGCTGAAATTTCTTTTAGCCTCTCCAACGTCTGGTCTTCTTTTTCTTCGCATAAACGTTCGAAAATCGGCCCCATGATCAATCCGCTAATGAATTTGTCTTTCAGAATGCTGCTCAGGTTGGCATCAAACCTACAATTGGCACTTAAACTTTGAATTTTAACATACCAGTCAGCTATGGATTCATGAGCGTCTTGTTTGGCCTCGTAAAATCGTCGTCGTTCTTTCCAAACATTTGCCTTGGGACAGCAATGCTCTCTAAGCAACTTACATAGTTCTTCATATTTTTTTTCTTTAGGCAGCGACGGAAAGCAAAGGTTTCTGAGCAATTTATAGGTTTGGGTGCCCAGAACACTGATTAAATTGGCAGTTTTGCTTTCATTCTCCTTTATGTTAGAAGCTGCTAGGTATTGCTCTAATCTTTCCTCGTACAGGATCCAGTCGTCGGATTCCACGTTGAATTCGGCAAACTTTATACTTGACGACGCCATTTTGCAATTTTTTTTTTTTACGCGAATTTTTTTTTTCCGTTTACCTCGTCGCCATATGTGATAACCGAGCTTGTGTGAATAAAAGCGAGATACTGTTTAAAGCGTTTAATAATTAATGTCACAGATAATATATAGAGTTATGCAATAATATGAATTAGGGCTTGGACGTTCGCGGAGAGGACCGTAGCGAGCGGCGGCATTAAAAGGTGCTTATCGTCACGTAGGTAACAGTAGACTGGCGGAGGTAGTCGTGGTGGTGGTTCTCGATGAAGCCGGATGTTTCGTCATGAGTTCCCTGTAGCGACCCCTGGTAGTGTACCTTGGTTCGTTTGGGGTCATGGGAGCTGACCACTTGGCAACCTGGCTAGAGGCTGACCCATCACAATTTCAAAGTTTATACCTATATCCTATTCATAATCCGATGACCACAGGTAGGTTCAGGTAAATTTATCACCTCTCCCTATCAAATAGCATTGAAAGGTGATTAATTTTACCTGTACCTGTGGACATCGGATTGTGAATGGATAACACTTGTGGGTATTTCTGCCTTTTTGTGAAGAAACTAATACAATAACGATTTATTAAACTTTTTCAACGATTTTTTACGCACAAGTGGGTAAGGTGAATTACTTACGCACGGTAGTAGAAAAAAAAAATATTTTTCTTTTTTGGCTCAAAATCCACGTTCTTGGTCGTGGCACCCGAAAAAATTTGTTGACTCCGGCGGCGCCTGCGGTGGGCATGTAGAGAAACGGGGGGCAGCGAATTTTCAATTTTTGCCAAAAGCCTAGCGACGGCCCTGGGATTCTATGTAAAATTCTGAGCAGATTTCATCTGATATACCCTATCATCTGTTTTGAATATTTTGGAAGTATTGACATCAGTTGAAAATTAACTTTTTTCTAAGAGTTTTGAATAATATGCGTAATATACACATCCATTTTCTATTGATCAATGTGAATGATTACTCATACACTGAGTTTTTTTTTTTTTTTTTCATTACTTAATTGTTTTCAACCAATGAAAATATCCTGGTCTCAGTACTCCACCATTTAAGAGCCAATCAGAAAATTCGACAAGATGACAACATACTTCAACCTTCCAATCGGTCATTTTGACAGCTGATTTGGACAAGACTTGTGCTAACCTAACCTCACTTTGCCTTCCAGCTGTCAGAATTTTCAATTAATTTTGTTACAAAAATTAAATAAAAAATTGCATAACTCCAATGAATTCATAACTCATGCCTATTTTCTATTAATCATAGAAAAAGTATAGTATTCAACGAGCGGGTTATGATGGCTATTACTCACGAAGGATGAAGTTTGCACTACGAGCCGCAGGCGAGTAGTGTATAATCATCCGAGTGAGTAATAGCCATTACCTACGACTCCTACGAAACATGGCAGGCTGTAAAACTTAGACATTTAATTTAAGAGCAAAACCGTAAACCGTTATATTCATAAACCATCAATTAACACCAACTTTAAATTTAACCGGAAATTAAATTTAATTAGAATTTTGAATCATATAAACCGATACTTTTGATCTTGATAACGAATTTGACACGTCATTGAATTTAACATGGTTTTGCATGGGACAAGATCTGCAATCTGTATGATGTGGTAAGAGCACATTCAAACCCCTGATTATTTTTAACGTCGGTCAAATTTGAAAACTGAGAACAAAAGTACCGGCACGTAATGTATTTCTCTCAATTAAGCGACAAGCGTACTCTGGTCGCTGCTCATGCGCGGTTCATACTCCCCTTACGGCCCTCACGCGATTGGAATTTTTGTGAAGCAAAGAGGTTTCACTTCAAAAATACCTAAAAAAATTATACCCGAGGCATGTTTTTTTAACGACTTTTGGGTAAAAATTTGGGCATTCGTGACACTCAGAAAAGTTTGGGGGCTCCTTTAAGGGGGCCCGTTGGAATAGCTGTACTGGGGCCCGCGCGTGCTTAGCACGGCCCTGATGAGGGGGGGGGGGGGGCAAATGCAGTTCCAGTTGCCGTTGCAGTTGCAAAGTTTTATCACCTAAATTTGAATGGAATATTGTAGAGTAATTGAAAAGACGTAGAATGAACCTCGATCCAACCCCAATGGATCGAGGTTCTATCTTCTGGCAAGGCTTTAAGGGCTGGTTTCTCAATAGCAGGTCACCCCCGGGTTAAGGATAATTCCAGCTCCAGGGTAAACATAGCAACGGGACACGCTTACCCTGGAGTTAAAACAAACCCGGAGATGACTCGCTATTGGGAGACCGGCCCTAAACCCGTGAAAACGGTCTGGCATTAATTATTACAGTCTTGTTAATCGCACATTTTTCATATGCCGCAAAAATTGATCATCAGCAAGTAGGTATTTCGAATTTCGTGGATTTGTTAGTTTAAGCAAAAAATTGTCTATTGGCAATTTTTTACAGAAAGAAATTAACTGGCTCATGTTAGACTATTAGTGACGAGTTCGAATCTGTTAAAATATTTCAAATTTTTTGTATCAGAGTTGAATCAGAAAAAATATTGGAAATGCATTTTTTTTTTGCCGTTCTTCAGTTCAGCATAGTCAATAGATGGCATTCAAATACTGTCATGAGAAAAATTGATTTCAGCAATAAATGTCTCCTATTTGGAAACATTCCACACGATCTAAATTATCAGAGATGCATTTTTCGTTAACCACTATTATTTTTGGCCGGTCTTTTTCCACTGTTTGTTGAATTTACTTATATGTATTAGAGTTAAAATGTAGTATCTTAATTTAAAGTAGGTATGTATTAAAAATAAAACACAAAAATTTAGGTTATTCAAGTTGTCTTAAGTTTATTGTCACAGTCACTTAAAAGTGGTATATATTATTTTTTTCTTGAAATTGGTTGAGATTTTCATTCGATAATGATAAACAAATAAACAACAAACAAATAAAAAGAATTGCACTACATTTAGTAACATTTCGAAAATGGGACGGGTGTTTAAGGATTTTTTTTCCAGTAAAGTATCAATATTTAACAGTTACTCACATCTCACAATGAGGGACAAATTAAACCTTCTTCGAGTAGTTCCAGAAGAAGGTTGAATGCGCCAAAACTTGGTGAAAAAAATAAATAAGTTTTAAGTACAACATAAGATAGGATGTAAATAAAAAATAAATATTTTCATTTAATAAGGACATCTTAGATGACACCATAGACTCATACATTTTCATTAAGTTTTAAGCATTATCCTTATTGAATAAAAGATTTCTTAATCTAGAACAAATATGTTGAAATGGCAAGGTTTTTTTCTTATAGGCAACTAGTAAGCTCTTATAATGATTGAAATTGCGTATTGAAAAGTGCATTCTTGATTAATTAATTATTAGTAGAAAACTCCAAACTTTGTTTACTCTGTTTCATGAATACATAATAAATTGTTACTTCAGGCACTAAATTTTTATAAACAAATGTATTAAATGTGTCCCTACAAGGTCAGTACAGAGTAATGGCGCATCTTAAAATTTTGAAAATGAAACCAAAGCAATTTAACCCAAACCTTAATGACCCGAGAATAAAAGGCTTTTTATAAGTGTGGTTTTCATCCATTCAGTTCAGGAATCCCCTCGCACTACCTTGCAGACGAATATTTGAAAGGTGAATTGGGTTAGAGTGCTATTTTACTCCATTTGAATATAAAAGCACACATCACTCAGTACAGATTTTTTAGAGACAATGTGTTATTTAATTAGATTCCATATGTGACTGTTAAAAATTTGCAAAAAAAAACGATAAGGAACATATTTTTCAAAAGCCTTTTTGTAAAATAACTCGGTGCACTTCTCTATAAACTAACTCTAATATAACATTATCACTTATCAGTACGTAATACTATGTTATAACATCTATATTTATTATATACATTTTTGTACAATAGTAATACAAATCTATCAACAAAATCCTCAACCTCTGTTACACTAAGAAAATAGATCCATTAACATTTAAAAAACTTTCACTTAGTATAACAAGAAAATTGCCTAAGCTAAACTACCTATATCTAAATTGACCCTAATTGAATGAAATATTTACCTAAAATAATCAATAAGTACAAATAAAATGAACACACACAAATGGAATATTGTAAATGTGACTAGCAATATTTCGCTTGCGACATTTACCACGAGGTCAAAATTAAAGATGTCACAGATATCCAGTGACTGGATGGATCTGGCAGTAAAAGAAATAATTTTCTAGATTGGCAAGCTCATTACAACATTATCGCAGAATACTATTTTAAGGCTACCAGTCAAAGTCTGAAATATCTGTTATGACATAACTATTATCCGCGACATCCCTAGTAAAAATACTACGCAAATACAGCCCGAGACAAAATGAACAGGCAAGCAAATTTAGAGAAAAGCAAAAATCGGCTCCTGGTCTCAAAAAAATTCACATTTTGCTTTGCTACGTTTAAAAAAACATAAGAAATTTCGAGGAAGGAGAGAGGGAACAAGTACATTTGAAAAAATTCAAAAATCGAGTCAAAAATGTTTGAAAGGAAACGGATGAACATGTTATTTTAGGAGAGCTATGAATTCCTAAAAACAACTCATCCGGAATTTAAGTTTCTGAGATTTTTTGTTGAGAGCGGGACCACACTTTATAGTATTTTATTTGATTAGATATGGCTGTTTCGTTTATCTCTGCATTTGTTTGCCCAATCACCTTACCTTTGGAAAACCTTATTTGAAATGGAATTATACTATCTATATTTCCTGCCATAGTGATACATATTGTAGAAACATACCTATATAAACGCAATATAAAAATTCCTATAATTTATTCAATAAAAGTCAATTTCTTTCCTCACTACTACTCTTTACTAATATTATTATTGACTCTCTGTTTTATTTGTTCTTATACGTATAGGAGAATAACATTGTCAAGCGTTTTACATATTTCAAAAATCACAATACATTCAAGTATAAGCAGAACTATTTCTGCTTAAAACGATTGACTAGCAGTTATCGTTTTACGATGTGGCGAGAAAAAAGTACTTGGTCCGTGATTGGTGAGTGTGATTTTTTTTATAAATGGCAATAGTTTTTTTTTTGGTTTTTCAGTCTTCAAGGATGAAATAATGAATCAATGCAAAAAGTTGTTTTTCACTATTAAGATATTATTTTTAGATATGTCCAGATTTTTATTGTCGAAATATTCAAAACGTAAGAGTTGCCATCATAAATAATTTTCCATAATATCCAATACATATAGACAGGTGTTAAAACATGAATTACGTTTTAATGCCAGGAGTTTTTTCCCGATGATAAATAACTATTTTTAAAAGCTTTAGAACTTAAAGGCTCATGCAATTGTGGCAATCATATAACAAACATTATAAACTAGATCTGGCAATTATATAACATTGAATAGGGTTGGCAAATATCATATTTAGTGGAAATATTGTATGTCAGATTTTCACACCATACAGGAATTGATATAAATTTGAGGATTTTCAAGAAATATGAGGCACAATTATTTTTTGACAAATTTTTGCTTACTTTTTATAAAATCAGGTATATAATGGCATCCAAGGTTAAATTTATTTCAACATTCAAATACCATTATCCAAATGTCAACAAATACACGTACACATACAGTTAAGTACACTCTGACTTCTATATGGCTTAGGACTTCACTTGCTATCCAGGACACTCTAGTAACCTTTAAAAATTAAGTAAAATTCAAAAATTATGATGTTTTTACATGCATTTCAGAGAGTACAGAACAAAGAGGAAACCTTGATTTGATTGATTTGTATGAGAATATTATCTTGTAATGGCTTCATTATACATTTAGTGTGAATGACAAGGGTAGGCTAGCATCCAGTAATCTTAATCGTATTATAGCAGGTTTTCCAAAAGTTCGTTTCGGCAATGACTGAGCGGATTGGCATTTTATTTGCTTTCACGTGAGAAGTGGCAAGGAGGACAATGCTGCGCTCTAGGAGATCCCATTGATCATTTTTTTGTCGTTCACCAAAACCAAGTTCAATAGTGAGCTTTGTTGCTTCTGCATCTGTCGGGAAAATGTGTGTGGAAAATGGTGTAATAGAAGGAATTCAACTTTGTTGGGGTGGGCTAGTTTTTTGGAAACGTCAGTTAGGTACCGTGATCAGAAGTGGTGGTTTTGACTTTATTTATTCGTTGATGAGATATTTAAGTTTAGGCTTAGTCTCCTCCATGGAACGTTTTGCGGTACTTTGTCATTGTTTTGGATGATTATTATCCTGGCTCTACTTTTTGAGGAAGGAAAGAGCGTGCTTTTCCTTAATAAATACTTTTGAATATCTTTTAAAAATACACTTGTTGTGCCCGGTTCTCTGTTCTGTTATTATTGGATTATCAATTAAAATCTGCGTCATCCTGGGTTTTCAAATTCCTAATAGATATAAAAATTATGCCTGATCTAAGAAAATTAGAAAATTTGTCAAAAAATATTTGTTTTCAAGTTTTCCTGAAAACCACCTTACCCCTGCAGGTCCCTGTCTTCAAATTTTGATGCCATACGTTTTTAACACAAAAAAGACAAACATAGGTATAGCAATTTCACTCAGTTCAATACATACTAAATTATATTTTTTAAGCATCTATGTATCTATCTGCATCACAACTCAAAAGAAATATTGTGATCAGAATCTACTAAAAAAAAAAACAAATATTGGCCCAAAGTGCTGACTTCTTGGATAGTCTAGGCCCAATATATTTTTTTTTCTTTATGCTATATGAGCGATAGATGCCATCAAATTAATATCTATTTAATAAATATCAAGAAAATAATATGTATGTATATATTATGATATAAGGGCCAACCCTAACAAAAATGGAAAAATGCTAAAAACTACTACATATCTAATAAATAAAATAATTTAAGAAATACCCCATCAAAATTAACAAAAACAGATTAAAATGGAATGCATATAGTATTTTGAGCGGAATTGATTTAAATATATCAGCAAAATACATTTGTCTTATTTTCCAGAGAAATTAACATTATTGGTAAATTGGAAATTACAATGAAATAATATTCACTGCTAACACTGATATGCGAGGAAGCAGGTAAAATATTTTAGGCATTGAAAAAGCATATAAAGGTAAAAATAACTTGGGATAATTTTCTTTGATATATTAACTCAGTTGCTATATTGAAATCTGTTATAACAGTTTGGATTTATATCAAGTGTAGGGGTAAATAAGCAAAGAGTAAGCCATCGTTGCATTATCAATAAGAATTAATTCACATAAAAACTATCCCAAGTTATAAATATATATGTAATGCAACAAAAATATAGAGCATGTGAAGCAAAACTAGATTCAATAAATAATTAAATACAGCTTCGAAGAGATTTTCAAATTCAAGCACAAAAAAAAAATTGGAACAAGTTGAAATGTAACACATTTACCGACCATTTCTTATTTTAATTCTCAATCCTGAACTCGGTAAAGAGTTTACATGTTCAATGTTTCAAGATTCACTATTCCTTAATGTGGTATTTATTTTCGTATTGACATCGTGTGAAGACAAAAAACTTAGTTAAATGTATTTTAAATTCAGGAAGAGACTTCAAACAAAAACAGGAAACGCCCTCAAATGAGGATGCAGCACTGATCTCAAAAATAAATGGAAAACAGAGAACGATTCTAATGCTGCTAATTTACGAGGTTATAATGTAAACAACTGGGACAGCTGTGAGCGTGCGCAGTAGATACATCTACTGTGCGTGCGCAAAATATAGCCAATGAAAATGAAGGATACAGTGAAACTTCCCTAACTCGAATCTTCAAGGGACAGGAGGTGGAGTTCGAGTTACGGAAAATTCGATTTATGGAAAAAATACACAAAATTGAGGAAATTTGAATTTATATTATGTATGTATTACAGAAAAGAAGTTACATATACATTATATAAACCAAGACAAGTCTATATGTCGCCGCTGGTCACTGAGAATCGGTAATTTCCCCAAGGCTCTAAATGAAGCAGCTGTTTCCCCGAAAAATTCGAGTTACGCTTAGTTTTCGCCACAGTTGCCACTAAATTTTAGTTCGAGTTTTAGAAATATTCGAGTTATAGAGATTAGAAATTCAACTTATAGAGAAAAAATACATAGTGAGGTTGTGAAAACCTATTTGTTTGTGAAGAAAATTTGATTTAGAGAATATTCCGAGTTCGGGCAGTTCGAGTTAGAGAAGTTTCACTGTATTTCAAAATAAGAACAGCTGTTCCAAAGATAAGACACTGCGCAGGAGTTAGGCTGTTCCGTTGCACAACTGTTTGTAGAATATTGACCCCAAATTTTCGTACAATTTTAGAGATCAGTGGGATGCAGTCAGTAAAAGGGTTGATGTCCGCTTGACGTTATCTAAATGAACATCAGTTATTATTGATCTTAATAATAATAATAAGCATTGCCATTCATAGTCGTAAATTGTAGCTGCTCAATTATGATCTGCCCTCTTACCATTCATATACCCTATCCATCTTTCTGCAGTTGTTTGAAAAAGTGGTTCCTCTTCAATGGTGTCCAGTAGTAAAAGCTGATTGATATGGGTGGCGTGATAGTCCCACCTGGCCAAATTTGGAGCAATACCCAAAGTAAAATGACGAAGGTCGTACACTGTTGCACTGCCCATATCAAATAATGGTAGCATGTTTTTTAGAGTTGTTATGCCTTCGTTATAAAGGAATTCTGCTTCCTAAATGAGAAAAACTAATCAGGATTTTTACAAAATAATTATTGAACAAGATAATTCACTAAAGCCCATTTAGACCAATAAACACATGTCCATATATTTAGTTCCTTGCATGAAGACACTTAATCTATATTTATTAAATTCAACAAGTTGCACTATTCCAAAAAAATATGTTTCATATTGCCAAATAGCTGATATTAATCTCCTTTTTACCCCAAAAAAATATTTGCCACAGGAGTAGCAATAGGGATTGTGTCTCAGAACAAATCTGCACACAAACGACTTATTTAATAGTAATATAATAATAAAACGAAAATATTAGAAAATAAATTACCTGTGCTTGATCAACCGGAGCTATACTCATCAAATCATAAAGTCCCAATATAGAATATATGAATCCATTCAATACATATGATGCCGGCTTAGTGGGATACTCCTCATACCAATGAAATTTATTCAAAAAAGTGGCCAAAACACCACCTTCCGAACTAGGCAACCTGAAGGGTTTTAATCCATTTAAAGCTGCATTCAAATATCTCTCATCGCCGTCAGAATGATAAAATGCTCTTGCTAGAACTGATATTGCGTGACCTTGACCCATTGCTGAATACCAACCTAAAAATAAAAAAATATTATTATTTTAAGGAAGAAGTTTAATGGAAGACAGCCAGCTAACAGGAGAGTATGCAGGGTGTCACGAAAGGTTTGTTACAAACTTCTAGGGCTGGTAGATATCATAAGAATTTTTTTGATAAACATGTCCGGAAATGCTTCGCATTCCAGATACAGGGTGTTAGACTTTGTAAAAAAAAGCCAATTTTTTTAATAATTCTTAGAAATGTGTAAACAGTGGACTGTATTCTTATGAAAAATTTTGGTTTGTTTGTGGTTGTAATGAGAAAAGAAGCACAACAAGAAAAACTTCTAATAAAAGCCCGGTTCTAGGTTTTTTTTAGAATATTATTTTAATTAGCACAAACCCTCACGAACTTATTTACAAGTTATGGATTTCTACAAGCTTTAAACGCCGCTTCACATCCACAAATTACGAAATTACACATAACTGTTACAATTTCTAGGTACCAACTTCAGTACAGGAAAAGAATAGCTAAAATAACCGAGTTAATAACTCACTGTGAGATTCCTCTTTTGTAAATCTTGAGAATAATAATAATAATAATAATAATAATAATATGTTTATTTACGGAACCAGCCATTTACAAATATAAATTTTACAAATATAATGTAACAATATAAATTAAAACTAATTTAGCTAAAAATGATAGTAACAAATAAATAAATAAATAAATAAATAACTTAGGGCATACTAACATCACAGTAAAACAGTCTATTTTTCATTGCAGTTTTTAGTTGAGGTAGACTAGAATTAAATATATCAATATTTGAACAATAAACATTACACAATTCACATGATCTATTTACAAACGATGATCTGCCATAGTTCGTTCTATGGTGTACAATCTTAAACAAAACAAAACTACGGAGGCATCTCTGAGGTACATTTATCAGAATCATACTCAATAAAGGTGAACAATCAATACTACAGTTTATGATCTTATAAATAGTGTTTATATCTATAAATTTTCATCTCTGTTCTAAAGATGGAAGATTAAGCAATCTTTGAATATCCGAATAAATAATGTGATCCGATGGTATAGACATTTTATAGGCACAGAACCTCAAAAACTTACGTTGTACTCTCTCTAACAGATTAATGTGAATATTGTAGCAAGGTGACCAAACTTGGGATGCATATTCCAGCGTAGAACGGATGTAAGCACAATATAAAGCTTTGAAACACGACAAATCAGAAAAATCCCTTAGCGTTCTCTTTAAAAATCCCAATGTTTTCAATGCTTTGTTAGTTATATAATCTATGTGGTCGGTAAATGTAAGTTCCTGATCAAAAATTACCCCTAGATCCTTTATAGTATGTATTTACTTTTTTCGAGGAGGAGTTAGCCTTGTATTCAAAATTTATCAAATTTCTCTTCCTGGAAAATGATATCATTTTACATTTGGTAATGTTAAGTTGCATGCCATTTATTTCACACCACAATACCTAATAGAAAGAAGACTTTTTCAGGGAATTATTACCAGAAACTTTTATATTTTAGTCAAGAGGAACTAGAAGAATACTTGCAACAACAATATGACAAAACGTGTCCAATTACTATGACAACACAGAAAAAAAAGAAAAACAAAAAAAAACGGAAACTATCAATAATTATTTGCCGGGCAACTTGACCCTTTTACGGCGAGGGTGAATTGACAATAATTTGACAGTAATTGACAATTTTAAATAATGCAATAAATTTATTAAATAGATTTGAAACTCGAACATTCTCCCCCGCGTTGAAGCTTCAGCTTCAACAGTGAAAGAAGGAGAGGAACAACAAAGGAGAGAGAATGATGAGGAAACAGTCTTCAAGACTCAATCTCCCATGGGAGACTGATTTGGTAATGGACTCAATTTTATTGGTCTAGTAAAAATACCAGTGGAAGTTCCAATTTTTGCAACTCATACTTTGCCATCTTTACCTTTGATAGGCTCTAAGACCCTGGCAAGAGGCCACTTAAGAGGAGGCATGTTATCTTCTTTGATTAGCACCAAGTCATTTTCTTTTAGGTTTTCTTTTTCCCTAAACCATTTAGGTCTATTTTGCAGACGGTTGAGACATTCTACAGACCATCTTTTCCAAAAGGTTTGTTGGATCTGTGAACCTCTCTTGAATATAGAAAGCCTATTTTCAGGAAGATTTGTGACATCTCTCTCTGGGTATGCTGTTATTGCAGAACCAATCAGGAAATGACCTGGCGTTAAACAGTTCATATCCATTGGATCACTGGAAAGAGGGTTCAACGGTCTAGAGTTCATGATTGCCTCAATCTGGCATAATATCGTTGAGAACTCTTCAAAAGTGAAATTTTGTTGCCAATTAATCTTTTCATATGGTATTTCGCATTTTTGATTGCTGCCTCCCAGAGGCCACCCCAATGAGGAGATCTGGGGGGAATGAGCCGCCAGGAAGTTTCGTTTTGAGAAAGGAAATCAGAGATGGAGTCTAGATTTGTTTTAGTTTTGAAAAAATCTTGAATTTCTTTCAACTGATTTTTAGCACCTGTGAAATTAGTATTGTCGATAAAGATTATCTTCGGATTTCCGCGTCGCGAGATAAATCTTTTTAGAGTCAAAATAAATGATTCAGTTAAGAGAGAGCTCACCAACTCGATGTATACAGCTTCCGTAGCCAAACACACAAACAGAGCAATGTAAACTTTTACTTGTGGGGCTTTTCTTAGGCGCGACGACTTAATTAAAAAAGGTCCTCCAAAGTCGACACCTACTTTGAAAAATGGTTTGGAAACATTAACCCTGTCTTCCGGTAAATTAGCTATGATTTGCTCAGATACTTGATTGTTGAATCTGAAGCACGTTATAAATTTTTTTTATGTCTCTTAAACCATTTAACGGCCAATATCTCAGACGAGTATTGCCTAGGGTAGTTTGAGCTTCAGCGTGGCATAAGCGTCTATGTTCGTGGGTTAGAATGAGATCAGTTACATGGTTTTTGATTGAAAGATATAATTGCATTTTCAAGTCTACCTCCGACGCGAAGTAGTCCCAAACTGTCGATAAAAGGTTTTAAATGGAGAAGTTGTTTATTAGAAACAGACTTATTTGATAAAAGGTCAGAAATTTTCTTTTGAAAATTATTATTTTGAGCTTGTTTCAACATAAAATTCAAGGAGAATTCAAGTTCTTCATTCGTCAAAGAAGAAATATTTCTGTTCTCTTTTCTGCTTCGTAGATTCTTGGTAAACCGCAAAATAAAACCTATTGTTCTCTGTAATTTCAGAAAACTAGAAAATTTGAGAAAGGTATCTTCCCAAAAATCAACATTTGCTAACAAATGAGTTTTTCTTTCCTCTGGAATGTCTGAAATATTAATATGACTTTCTTCGTCGAGAAGTTTAAAAGTTTTTTTTTGCAAAAAATTAGGACCGTGCCACCAAAAATTATTATTTAGAATATCCCGAGCATATAATCCTCTTGAAAGCACATCAGCTATATTTTCTGATGATTTAACATGTCTCCACTTGTAATTTGAGGTTAATTCCTATCACTCGACCCCCCTTTTCATTGAAAATTTTGGGGGTATCTGTCGCCCTCACTTAGGGGTTGACAGGTAGGGGGTGAAAATACCAATAAAATGTGTCCCCCAAAAAACAAAAATTGACGTGTTCAAGCGATTTTTAATTAATCACCTAACACCTGAGAAAACCTGGATGGGAAGTTTTTCGTGCCCCACCCTGTATAAAAAATTACTTTCAAAAAAAGGGAAAAATATAACATCTAAAGGACTCTTTACGACACCAAATCCTGTTTGGATGAAATATGGTGTGTGGTTCAAAAACACTCTAGTCGGATGTCTAAATGGACTAAAATGTCTGCAGAAAAATCAGGCCTTGATAATAAAAAGTTCAAATTCACCAACCATTGACATAGAGCTACAACAGTAAGTCATTTATCAAAATTAGGAGTGGACGAAATGCAATTAAAGCTACGTTTACATTCAATTCCAATTTGAATTGGGAGTGAAATTTTGGAGCTTGACTTATGGCAAACTGTACTGTCGTCTATTTTGCAAATTATTTTCAAGGTCACGCCCACTTCCAATTCAAATTGGTGCAAGCAGCTTGACATCGGCAAGAAAAAATTCGAAATTACAAATTTGAAGGTTAGGTTCGATGGTCGCGTTCACCAGCACTCAACATGTTGAATGATTAGTAAGCGGCTTTCTTCCAACAAGTGAAATACACAAGGTAGAACATTTTTGATTGGCCTAGAGCTGATTTTCATCTGTTATCAACAAAGCCGCTGACTAATCACTCAACATGTTTAGTGTTGGTGAACGCGACCATTGGTCAAGTACAAAGCACAATTTTTCCCGCACAAATTTCAATGTAAACGGCCAGTCGTTCAACTGTCAAGTAATTCCAATTGCAATTTGAATTGAATGTAAACGTAGCTTTAATTCATCATATTAGTTAGGTTAGAATCGCAAATTGGCGCGGGTTCCTAGTTCAAAAATTAATACATTGATGTCTTATGGGGACTCAATTTTAAAAGCGTCTGTAGACGTGATAGAACGTTTGTAACGGAATTGAGTTGTATAAATAGTTTTTTTAATATGTGAATTAACTGAGAGAGTGTTTGAAAGTTGAATAAACATTGTTAAAATAAAAATATTACCAATTTAAGAAGCCGATGTTTGTATAAAATACGTATGTCGTTGCTTGATCCATAAGTATATATGAGTACCTACCTACCTAATTTTAATAAAATAAAAGTTTACCTACATACTTGGTTAGTAAATGTACTTCAATAATCCAAAAAAATTGAAAAATAAATGACTGAACTAGTGATAAATAAATAAATAAACAATTCACCAACAATCATAACCATAACACAACACACAACCTCACTTTCTCTCAGCTGGTTTTAGACCCGACGTACGTCCACCGAAAACAGACAATTTTAATTAAAATCATTTGTATTTTTAATTCATAGGTCTAAAAAAACAATTAGAACATGAATTATAGAGAAATATGTTCAAAGTTTGACGTACAATAGGTTCCAATACTAAGAAATGCCCAGAACCCAAGATATTCCCGTCTGAAAATCACTCTTTTGAATCCCCCATAAGAAATACATTGCTGTCAAATTTGTTGAAATGTGCTTAGGAACCCATTTTAAATTTCGCGCCCGATTTTTCCTAACCTAACTAATATGGTGAATTCGATTAAACCCTATCTACAAATAGATCAAACTCACCACGAAGAAATCATAACTAAAATGCGAGGAAATAGACTTCCTGTGTCGAACATATAACGAAAACCTCCAGTTCCTCACAGTCTATCTTACAAAGTTATACGTCGGAGAAGAGTTCTACTGGTTCCGTTAAAAATTAAAATTTTAATAATTTTACTATTAATTGCCACAACTTTAATACAAACTAATTTACCCATGTAGTTACGTCAAATTATGTATTATGAATAATTACTTATTTAAAAAAGCCGTAGAGCTGTTACCAAAATGAGCCATATTACTTGCTTACAAATAAAAACGCTTGTGTCTAATCTACTGTATAGAAAGCTCATAATTTGTGCCTAATTTACTGTGTACAAAGCTGATAATAACTCGTTGAGTCAGGTAAAAAATACCTGAAAAAAATTATCGGCAATTAGCACTAGTGCAAATTATCGCTGTAATTCGCTTCCTATTGGTCCAAAATTGCTAGACGCCTCTGTATGTTCACCTGAATATTACCTGAAGAAAATTTTCAAGATATAATTTGAAAACCATTTTAGGCGAACCACGAACGTCACTGACCTCCATAATTAAAAAATAAATTGCCTCAGAATTACCTGAAGTTTTACCAGCCTATTTGTCACTTAAAAATCCCTAGAATTTTGTAACAAACCTTTCGTGAAACCCTGTATAATAGTATACAAAGAATCTATGTTTAGGGATCCAATAATAATTCAAGTCTTTCAGGCTTTTTGGCAGCACCAGAAAATAATGAATGGAATTTATAGTTAGTTACATGCTATAAATTAAATTCAATTGTGACACTGGGCGTATTTCCTGGTGCTTGGAAGGTTGCGAAGGTCGAAGGTCTGCTCTATCCCCAAAAAAAAATGAGCCATCAGTAATTGAATATTACCATATACATATCTCCATCCTTTGCAACATTTTCAAAATTTTAGAGATTATCTAAACAGAGTATCGATACCAATCTTAAACAAGACAAAATCAACTCTAAAAATCCGTAATTAAAGTTTAAACATAAACCAAAGAAGTTCAGATGTTCAGCCCTAGGGTCCGAAAAAAACCTTAAATTTTGTATTTCTATATTTTTATACTTTTATATTCTGATGTAGTAGTGTCCATTTTTAACTGAACGTCTGGCTGTGTTTTTCAATTTGTTGACTCACTGTTCACCTGATAAGGAAGCACTGAAAATGGCCTAAGGCCAAAAGCGCTCTGCTATTATTATTATTTTTTTTTTGCACAGAATACCAAACTCATTTACTCCTTTCTTTAATAAAAATAGGTTGGGTAACATTTACTGTAAAATTTTTAAAAGATGAATGATGAATTATCAAAGTTCTGTCCCAACACAGCAGGAAACCTTACAATTTACCACAATTCTTCCGATATCCGAAACAAAGTGGTTTCGATAACCGTTCATGGGATGGAACAGACCTATTGATTGTCCACTACCAATTTTCAGAACCATTGTTATCTTTGTGATTTTTTTTATAATATAAGTGTTCCTTTTAGCAAGAATTTTCCAAAAAATAAGGTAATCATTAATATTTTACCTGATTCAAGTACCATAAATCCTGATGCCAACCTTCTCTTAACGGGTATAGGCCATCCCCCAGTATCTGCATCTTGATATTTGACAAACCATTCAGCAGCATCGTAAAATTGTTGCATATGCTCAGAGGAGGAAAGGGTTAAATTATCTATTGCACCAGATCCTCTGAAATAAATAACAAGCATGACAATTGCAAATAAAATTATAGCTATTGAAACTTACCTCAACATGATATCGATAACTTTCAATTTAGACCGTGGAATTTTATGTTTTGATTTATCCTTACTAGCGTAATTTAGACCTTTTTGGAGATCTACAATAAGATCTCTTGTAAGTTTTTTCCATTCCATGGTACTTCCAATACCATGATATATATTGCTGTCCTATAAATAATAATGAAACATAGTTTACTAAATTTATTCTCAAACTCCAAGTAATCTATACCTGTGATGTAATGAGAATATCACTAAAAATATAATGCAAAAAATATGCATCTTTTGTTTCTCTGTTCTGCAAAATAACAGTTAAACTGCTATTTCCATTCAATAATATATCCAGTCTCATTACAAAATCTAGGACGTGATCCAATTTTAGTTTTATTGCCTCATTATAATTTTCACTAGTTTTAAATTCTAAAATTTCAGAGTCTACATTGTGATTCCATGTTCTTTGCAAAGCTGCTGATTGGGGTATAATCCTGAAAAGAAAATTTGTGGTTAAGCCGACAGCAAAATGGTTACGAAAAATATTTTGAAAGTACAAATTAAATAAGAAATGTTAGACATTAATCAGTTCCACTGGAACCTTGTTTTAATTTTGTTTATTTTTTATTTTAAGTTCCACTCAACTCTTTGAGTTTTATTATTAGATATTGAGTTATGGGTATGAAATGAGTTACATTTGAATACTAAAATTAAAAGTAAAATGCAGCCTTGCATTTATCATACTATATTGGTATATAGGGAAATGTATAGTATAGCGCTCTCTATGGATTTTATATTGCATTGCTATTTTCTGAAGTGTAGAAAATTCACTTATTTATAGAGGGTGAAGATCTATGCGCATGTGCTAATCAATTGCGCAGGAACTGGACTATAAATAAAATTGCTCTTATGCTCTCTCTGGTATCGAACATGCATGCAAGCAGTCGGCCATGTGAAAATTCACCAATTCCGCAAATTAGAGACTAAAAAGTGCAATAATCAAGTGATGCAAAAGCTACGTCATTCCGTCGTCCAACTGCAAAAGTCTACGTGCACCTAGAAGAGGATATTAGATGACTCTTCGGTAAGACGGTAAGTCCCTCTTTAGGCTGTACCACTGCCATTATTTTTATTTTATATATTAAATACCTATGAATAAAATGATTTTTCACTAAAATAAATCCATAACCTACTATTTTGCGCTAGAAAGAGTGATTTCGCGATCTTTTACCTAAAAATAGAGAGAAGAGATTCAATTACAGTCAACGAAGCTCATCCAACTGTATCTGAGCTATCATCATAGCGCCACAGACATAGTATTCTAAAAAGTTTTATTTATTTGATTCACTTTATAAACATCCGAGACAGGTAATTACATATAAAGGTCCACAGATTGCCAAAGGCTCCATAATAATATAATAGGTCTCAGTACAAAGATAAAGATACACAAAAATACAAAAAAAATCAAATAAAACAGGAACCGCAAACATTAAATATTGATAAATAAAGATGGCTAGGGCATGTAACGACGAGTTGAAAGTAATAAAAACAATAACAATTAAATAAACATCATGACCATAATAAGTTCTAAGTTCTAAAATCTGCCTTGAATGATTAATACAAACATTAAAAATATTCAAATTCACATGATGGACTAGATTAATCAACATATTAATGGTCTCCTATTTAATATTTTCAGATTTATTTTTGGCACGCTAAATCGTATATAGTTAGCAAGATCACAACAAATAAATATGACAGCTTGTGTTTTGGAAGTAAGACCGGGAATGGATAGATATTATTTGTTTTTTAACTTAAAGATATTGTAAGAAACGTTTGTGTACCTTTTCTATTTCATTAGTGCTCGCTAGTGATGTGAGTCGAGAATATTCCCATGCGAACGTTCTCCTGAATGAGAATATTCCCGGTAACTTTCAATGAAAAACTCTCAAAAGAATATTTCCGAGAATATTTCCAAGAACTTTCCAGAAGAATTTTATAAAAATGCGAGATTATTGCAAATACAAGGTATCAGTGACGTCACTTCAAATTATGTGGATGATATAGCCCAGTCTAACTGTCTTTACGGAAACGCTGATCCAATTTACTTGATCACCAGCTGATGTACCTACAGCCTACAGTTGGTCTTTTTGTTAAATAATCTTCATTGAAGAAAGATAAAGAGCTGAGAGATTGGGTTAATCACATCAGCTTTTCCTTTAAAGCCTTATTCAACCATCCATAATACATACTTTAATTTTTAGCTGATCTTACAGAAAAAAATAGGTGTTTTTCTTGATTTAAAGTCTATAGTCAGTACACTTCAATAATAGGTAAATAAAGCTTACTACGATTTGTCTGATTTAGCTATAAATTAAAAAAAAAAACAATATTTCCATAAGCTCCCGAAAGTTTCCAATATTCCTGGAAAGTTTCCGAGAATGTTCGCGGCTTTTGAATGTTTCGGGAATTTTACATCACTAGTGCTCGCTATAGTTGTTGGACTCCAAATACCTATTACTTGACCTATTACTAGCATATTCCATTCCAAATATGACCTTATTAGAGAGATATATGGTTATACAGTTTCAATATTCAATGTTTAGTGTTATGTATAACAAAGCCTAAAGCTTTGTCAGCTTTATTAGTTATATTATCGATATCAAAATCGAATCAAATCAAATGATTTATTGAATTTGAAGTATTCTGAAGAATAACACTGATATCCTTATTTTCAATTTTTAACTTTCCAAGTATATGTGACTATTGAGCACTTCTCATTATTCATTATTCACTGTCATTTTGTTATCTTTAAACTCGACTTCAAACCAATTTATGGTTGCATTTAATCAGACTGCAAATCTGCAGAATTCTCTGCAAAAGTATGAACCTAACTATTTTAAGAAGCTTAAAATCATCAGCATACAGCAAACTGCATGATGGTGTTACACAATTTTCTAATCAATAGAATTGTCTACAATTGGGATTTTCTGAGTATTGCACTATTAACTCTACCTCCAGAAATCAATTCAAGAATCGCCTCAACCAGGAAATGGGAATTTGGACCACATCCTCCTTTATGCATTAATTGTGTGTATACCTACCAAGAAACCGAGCAAGAAACAGAACTAAGACAGTGATAGTTATCTAAACAAATACAGCAGTCTCATCCGTTCTTAAAAAACCGCCTACTGCTGTTTACAAAATAATAATAAAACAATAATAACATTCAGGTAGGACATTAATAAAGATTATAAAGAGCAGAGGACCCAAGTTGCTTGCTTAGGGAACCCTTGACTGGTCAGAAAAAGCTTGTCCAACTTTCACAGCTTGTAGGTGATTGAAAAGAAATTGACAACTTGATATATTCTTACCATTTAGCTAGTTCCTTCTCACCATCTTCAATAATCTTTCTTCTAGGTTCAGGTTCAGTTAAGTTCTTTGAATAATGCGACAGTCCAAATTGTGCTATTTGAGTAGGATAATAATACCCTTGACTTTCCCACTGGGTGGACACAGGGACTCCATCTGTAGCGCTCACACATTTAACTCTATCCCTAACTTCTACATTATAATTTTCAAAGTACATATAAACTCCTCTTGGATCATACTTGGATTTGGGATGGTAGATTTTGCTATAGCTATGCGACCACTCAAAGCGCGATATTCCATCATTTGTAGCCAGTTTACCATTTACTTCAAAATATCTACGCAAGAATGAAAAAGGTATATAGACTTCTATGCCTTCTTTTTTGCAACCAATCACATATTCTCCGTTTATATCACAGTCGATTTCTTCTGATCCTTGCGCCTCAAATGCTTTTGCATTTACACTAGAATCATTCGGGTTTTGTGAATTTATGGTGTCCGTGTTGCATATCGAGTATAATACCAACATTGTAAAAATTGAGATTGAAATTAAAAATATCAGTGCTATTTTGATATTGAATCGCATTATTAGAAAAAATATTGGCGGTTCCTGAAATTGTAAAATGAAATTAGGGATAGCAAGTGGTACATCCAGGGTATATTATGTAGTTGTACCTTGGAAGAATAAATGTTTTGGCCTTGTAAACAGCCACCACCTGATTGCAAGTTATGCATTAGTCGTTCACATCGCTTTGCACTATTTAATTTAGAATAAACTTAATTACGTTGCATTCAATATTGTTTACTTTTACTATCGATACATCAACAATCAACATTTTTAACTTTTTCCATCCCACTTCCGAGAAAACTTGTCAAAGTACAGACTTGCCTCAAGTCATATTTCGAAACCACAAACAACAAAACCGAAAACCAAACGTCAAAAATCTGATGTATCACGTGTCACTACTCACTACTCTCTATTCTCTACGGAGTAAAAGTAATCCTTAATGGCACTAGCTGTAATATTCTGAGCTATCAGCAAAACGGTCGTTTGTAATAGAGTGCTTAGAAAATAAACCAAAAACTCGCCAAAATAATTAAAATACTACTAGAATGTGTTTTTTTAGGGCAGTTCAGAGTTCAGGTCGGCAGATTTGCCCTATAAGTTGTATTCCTTTCACACCTAGGAGAAGCTCCGGAACAGCTCCGGGGCGTTACGCGCTCATTCCTTTCGAAAAGTGTTTGTTGCACCAAGCATCTGTTCCTTGCAAATCGGGGGCGAATACTAGCAGTTTCCATTTGTCGAACCAGTGCAAAAAAAAAATGTATCCATGTATTACGTGTTACGTGTTACATGCTTTTAGAAAAAGATGTGGATACACTCAGTACTCAGTGCGCACTGATTGACAAATGGAAATCGCTATAAACACCGGAGCGAGTAGCGACACCGCAATACATGTCGAGTTCGCCCCAAACCTGCTCCGATTAATCTGAGATCGGAATAGTTCGTTTTGTAGAATTTTAAATATTTCGCACCCCTATTTATTTCTAAGCGGTCATACTCGGTGTTTCGAACACGCCACAGCAGCAGTGTATGCAATCCCAAATGCAGAGAAGACAGATAAAAAGGGCTTGGGCGGATTCACAACAGCAGCGTTCTTGCAAGAGTCACTTGCTCCAGAGCTATTCGTTCGGAGTCATTCGCAGTAGATCCCGAAAAGAACTCCTTCTTTAGTGCAAGTGCTCCATGTTTAATAAACGTGAGTGACCACTTCGGGACGATCTTGATGGGTCTGTGTTCTCACAGAAATCAAAAACTCGTTAGAGCGTTTGTGATTGGTGCAAATCGCCAACAACCAGTTTTCTGACGATTTTCAACCAATGAAATTTGCTCCGACTGGTTTATGATTAGTTGTATACCTACCTTTCACACCTAGGAGGAGCTCAGAAACAGCTCCGGGACTTCACGCGCTTATTCCTTTCGAAAAGTGTTTGTTGCACCACGCATCTGTTCCCTGCAAATCGGGGGCGACTGAACACCGGAGCGAGTAGCTCGAGTGTTTCAAACCCTTGAAAGGAATACAACTATTTCTGTGAGAACAGACCTTTAGTCGGTGCATTTGCGTCTCGGAGCTTCCCCCTTGCCACCGAAGCCATTCCGTGGTGTTTGTCGCTTGTGACTTTTGACTATGCGACTCTCTTGGATATAAAAAAGCGTTTTCCAGAATTACTCCGAACCAATAGCTCCGGAGCTTGTGCAGACTCTAAAAAGAACGCAGCTCGGATTGGATGAATACCATAACATAAGCCGCTTTCCAGCTGTGTGCTTCAAGCACGGTGTAGCACAGTGTTCTGTGTTTAAAACGCAAAAATTTAGCAGCTCTCGAAGCGCAGTACGGCTGGAACACGAACACGCGCTTGAAGCATTTGCGCGCGCAAAAGCTCGATTGCGTGCTCAGCGTCAGCTGGAAAGCGGCTATAACAACATAACCAAAATTATGTTGTGTTTTGTTGATTGTTTTTTTATTTCAATTTTTGAACTTTTGATTAGTGATCCGTTTTGAAAATAAGCGACTAATTTTAATTTAAGAATTGTAACGACTAAAATGAACATGGATGAAACACAAACAGAAATTCAAATAACCCTCCAAAACTTTAGAGACATGGATGCATATATCAGAGGAATGATGGCCCTGATTTCTGATGAAATTAGCAAAAATGATTTGGAATACATGTATTTAAAAAATCTAGTTATTCAGAAACCTGCGTCCACACCACCACCACCAAGTAGTCCAATAAAAAATAGCAAAATTAGGATAATAAGTGATATAAGGATCAATAGTTCATCAACTTCGGTTAAGGTAAGAATTTTAATTTTTACTCAGATTGGTAGGTTAACAGGAATAACATAATACCTAATATAAGAAATAATATACGTAGCTGTGTCCACCTTAAGGACTTGGCGGCCAACAAATGAGAGGACTACTTCGTCCATGCAACGATCAGATCAATTTTCATTTAACCATTTTCTCACTTGGTCACATATGATTAGGTGCACCATCAAGTTGTACCTACATCACTAAACTAATTTTTCAAAATTCAGAGAGGACTAGCAACATTATTACTTTCGAGAAATATTGTCTCTTATTATGATATTTTCAGATGGAGATGTTACAATGCCGTCCACAAAGTAATGAAAATTTGTTCTAATAATAATAATAATAATACCAATGTCGGATCAACAAATATTATGTATTTTTCAGGAGATGCGTCCTGCTCTTCTACCCGAGTTTCCTGCTGTTCTACCTGAGTTAAATCTTGACTTACCTCCCGCAACTTACGAGCTACCTGATTTGGACGAATGGTGTAGTTATTAAATTATTATTGTTAGTTTTGAAAACATCAATTTGTGATAATTATAAGATGTGAAATTTTCTATTTCTTGTTTTATTTAGCAGACAGAAGTTCTTTTTTGTTGGCTTATTGTCCAGTGAACAGATATTGACTAATTATGTGCTAGTTATAGTATCCGTCTAATTTTGTCAAAGATTCCTCATATCTCTGGAAAACTGATAGCTGGGATGCTATCATTATTAGAGTAGTAGTATAGTGACTTGTCGCCCAAAAATGGCTTGTTGATACTTCGGTTTTTGAGTGAAAGCAGATCCTTTTCACAAGTGAAAGAACATGTCAGAATTAAGAATAACGTTTTCTCTATCGATTGGTATAATTGGTAACTTTTGTTTCTTATCTTTACAAATAAAACCACCAGTGACGTACAAAAAAGTAGTGGAGTAAGAGGAATGATTCAAATCAAATCAAAATAAACTTTATTGTCAGAAAATAACAAAAGAATTTCATTGACAAAGCAAATACTTAAGGCTATATTGTACTTAGAATCACAAAAATATTACAATAACAACATTCATAATGAGCACAATTAACCACAGATAAAAAATGCTGAAAACAAAAAAATTAAAAATCTTGATCCTAATACAACAACAACCCAAAAAATTAGATTAAAAGGAAGTAAAAAATATAAAATTATGATTATAGTGTATCACCAAAATATTCTTCTAGATCATAATAGGCCCTCTCTAACAACATGTATTTAACTTTATTTCTAAATGCTTTGTAACTGTCAAGGTTTTTAAAATCATTAGGTAACTTATTGTACAGTCATTCAGGTAGCTATGCTCAGTTCTTTCAGCTTCATCGCATAAGGCAACTGAACTTCTCTTTAGTCAGGAAATGTGCTGGTCTTTCTCTAAGTTATCCTTTTTAAGGTGTTGATCAGAGAATGCAACTCATCCATTACTGTATTGTCCATGCTTAACTCCTCCGTATTTGCTTGTTCAATGCACTAGCGGGAACACCAAATCAAATTATCAAGAATTATTTTATATCCCTTGCGTCTTTCCCAGCAACTTCTATGGACTACCAATATGTTTGCAGACCAGGCAAAACCAATTGCTGTGGTCTTTTCCTTTGCAGCATTTAAAGCTCGAAGGCATGTTGGAGAATTAAAATATTTATTTATTTTAAGTATCACTCAGTCAAAACAGCATTGGAATCTTATTGTTGTTTACATTAATCGCAAAAAGAAATATAAATATTTAGAAGGATGTTTATATTAGGCTGGCCTGTTGAGATAAGAATTCATTAACTATGCCATTCATTACATTCTTTTTGGAACATCCAATTTGCGTAATAGATAGATTAAAAATAAATATTTTCTATTGGATCAATAATTGCTCCTGCAACTTCTTTGATTATTGCATTTTCTTGCTCATGGGCTTGGTCTGTTGGAATAGGTGAAAACCAGTTAGGTACTCGATTTTTGAACCACAAAACCTCCTTTGCAAAATTCTTCATAAACAGTTGGATGGATTTTGTTAAAGCTGTAAAGGATGTTTTTTTATGTACTGACACCCCACCTACAGCGTTTACCTTTACAAGTAGAAGAAAGGTGTAAATACTGTAAGTACAAAAATTGCATTTGCAATCTTTAGTCTCTTATATATTTGGCTCCAAAAATTCTAAAAATACTATCCTAACTGATTTTGTGAACCATTCTACCTTACAGGTGAAAACTGCAGGTAAAATTTGAGGTACTTGGTTTTTTTTTTTTTAGAACCAAATATGTTGGAGACGGCTCAACCAAATATAGACGAACTATATATTTTTGGAATCGGGAAATTGTGCTCTTCGATTATATAGAACCAAATATAGGGGATACTATCTGGAAAAAGCTGAAAGCAAATGCAACATTTCCAATTTTTGAAATTCAATTTTTGTTTCTGATTATGGATTCTAAAAATTTAGCCAAAACTGTACAGGGTGGCCCAAATTCGAGCCTCATCATTGGCATCCCGGAAATCGTAAGAGATATAGGGTCGGTTAAATTTTGGCAAAGTTGCGCAATTTTATGACTATAATAGAATGCCGTTTCGAAATTAGAAAGATTCCGAATACTTCCGGAGATATTCGGAAAAAAACCGAAATTTTGTAAAATCGTTTTTATTTTTTCCTGGGCTTATTTGAAGAGCAATTTCAAAATAAATGTCACTTTATCATTTTCACTTTTTCCCCTTTAGAAGATGGTGCTACTAAATTTAAAATTCGACGTTTCGTCTTCAGGCGGCCATCATCAACTTACTTTTTTTAAATACGGACCTGGATTTTTTATTTGCGATTTTGTCATCTTTCGGCAACCGAAACTCCAAACCCGATACTGTTTATAGTTTATCAATAACACAGTAAAAAAAGCAAGTCCGTATTTAAAAGAAAATAAATTGATAATTATTCCACAGGAATGAAACGTTGAATTTTAAATTCAATACCGCCATCTTGTAGAGAAGAAAAAGTGACAATGGGAATGTGAAATTAGTTCTTCAAAGTCTTTTTAAATGAAATCGGAAAAAAAGTAGTTTTTATTTTTTCCTGGTTTTATTTAAAAAGATTTTGAAAAACTAATTTCACATCTCCACTTTTTCTTCTCTACAAGATGGCTGTATCAAATTTAAAATCTAACGTTTCGTTCTTCTGGAATCATCATCAATTTATTTTTTTTAAATACGAACCTGCTTTTTTTACCTTGTTATTGAAAAATTATAAACAGTATCGGTTTTAGGATGCCCAAAGATGACAAAATCGCAAATAAAAAATTCAGGTCCTGGTTTAAAAAGAAGTAAGTTTATGATGGTCGCCTGAAGACGAAACGTCGAATTTCAAATTTAGTAGCACCATCTTCTAAAGGGGAAAAAGTGACAACGATGAAGTGGCATTTATTTTAAAATTACTCTTCAAATAAGCCCAGGAAAAAATAAAAATGATTTTACAAAATTTCGGTTTTTTCCGAATATCTCCGAAGTATTCGGAATCTTTCTAATTTGGAAACGGCATTCTATTGGTCATAAAATTGCGCAACTTTGCCATAATTTAACTGACCCTGTATCTCTTACGGTTTCCAAGATCCCAATGATGAGGCTCGAATTTGGGCCACCCTGTACAACTATTGTATTTACACCTTTCTTCTACCTGTAAAGGTAAAGGCTGTAGATGGGGTGTCAATATATAAAAAAAAAACACCCTGTAGTGAACTGACAACCATCTGGCATAGTGTGTTTTATCTAAAGCGAAAAAGTATGGTAGGAGCTCCCCTATAGAACTAACATACTTAGAAAAATTTGCACTTCTAAGACACTTAAGACATTTCAAAACTTCAATTTGGGAGTTTAAAGTAAGTAACCAAAAATTAAAATAAGGAATAGCTTTAGCATCTTTACTACATCACACACTAAATTCTACAGTAGATGAACTTAAGGAATATGCTTCGTTTAATAAACAATATAAAGCTATACCTACAAATCTGCGGATGTGTTCGTCTGGTTCTTGTAAGGTGGCTAACTTTCAGGAAGGCATTGGCTTTTCCACTAGTTACAGTAAAAGAATCAATCAAAATATTGATAATACCACTTCTGTCTAGAAGACTGCCGATGGCAGACCACAATGCCATTTCGACATGAAGACCTCTCCTAACATAACTACAATTTTATTTTCTCCTAAATTTGAAATATCATTTAGTTGTAACGCAATAATGGTTGATCCATTTCCAAGACAGATTTGTCCTGAATTATAAAAATTAACCACTTGCTTTGCTATGAGCATTTTATGCCGAATTATTGCAGCAGAGTGGGATACTATAAAATAAAGGTAACAGAGCGCGGCAATACCTCCTTTACTGTTGAGGTTTGAAAACCCGCCCAAGAAAATATCATGTCATTTCTGTCTATGTGCACAAATATTTACGCTAGCGGAATAAAATTACATATACGGCGCCAAAATGACATTTCTATCTTTTACCGTTTTTGAGAAAAATAATAAAAATTAAAACAATCCACTTATCAAATTTGAGGGGGGTCGTCATGACTTTTTGAGATGGGTCTGTTCAAAAATCTACTAATTCTAACATGTTCTTTCACTTGTAAAAAGGATTTGCTTTTACCCAAAAACCGAAGTATGAAATCTTCAAGTCACTAAGCTATAGGAATTATCAAAAACTGATGTGGTGCTACTAGGCTGATATTGAATATGGGAAAGGGGTTTATTACTGTCAAGAGGACCAGCTAAATGAGACAATAGGTAGTAGATAATCTGCAAGCCTCCTAGACGCAACCCGACACCATCCATTTGCTGCTGAAACTCTCCCTTCAAGTGGAAAAGTCGTTTTTATAAAATAGATTTTTCAGCTCTTTAAAAAACGTTTATTCAATAAAATAAAAACTTCATGCACAATATAATAATATAATTTTTCTCTTTCTGAACGAAATTTGAGCCCTCATTTTGCTTTGACAGAGTATTACTAAAGGTTCAGAGAAGGACCCAAAACAATTAAACTCTCTCCTACATTAATGAGGAAGTTGCATGAAATATTTATTATTTTGATGCAAAATGTATTTAAAGTGAAGCAAATACAATACTGTAGAAGTATATTTCTATATTTAAATCCTTTTTATACTAAACCACTAATAGATAAATAATAATTATTCAAATATTAAATATATCAAAGGGCGCGAAAACGCTCTCAAATTGGTTATGACGTCATGGAACGATAAACAAACAAAAGTGTGGTTATGTTAACGTAAGACTTGAGCCGTCAGACGCTAGTTAGGCTCTTCATTTGTACTTGCTTTACCTGCTTGAAAAATCAGAAAGTTCTGCTGGAAGCTGCTATTTATGAGCTTATATATGGGACAAGTGAATGTCGATCTGCTTGAAGCAAGAAAAGCAGTACAGATGAACACCCTAAGGTTTAGATCGAATTCTACCGATGGATCCACTATTCTATGTCGGTCATTGTCATTTTCCATTCACTAAACAAAGATGAGTTATCCTTGTTTAGTGAATAGAAAATGACAATGACCGACATAGAATAGTGGATCTATCAGTAAGATTTGTTGATATGAATAAAAACGCAGGGTGTAGCAAAAGTAAGTATGTGCAAATCTTTTCTTCCATTATAACTTCAGAATATACAAATCGCCGCAACACAAAACAACAAATAAACGATGGAAATCAACCAAATCAAATGCCGTTTGGCGACGCAAATATTACGTGACGTCATCCAGATTCGCGCGCTTTTAAGGTCATTCAAAATGCTTTTATTACGCGCGAAACTTTAAACATTTTTCATCAAGTTATTATTGAGTTTTAGGGAATAATATTTGGGCAATACTCTTTTAAGGCATAAAAAAAATATTTTTTCCCCTATTCACGCAAAAACATCATATTGTCAAAAATCATAGAGGGTGAGACGTACAATACGATGTGAAAAAGTATAAGCATTAGTATAAGTGGGTGCAGAATTAATGCAGGTTAAAAATTACTAAAAATATAAAATATTCTATACTACTACCATTCGAAAGCTTAATCTTCTTCCAATTCAGATTTCACTTCAACTTTCACTTCAGATTTAACTTCAACTTTCACCTCGGATTTCACTTCAACTTCCATCTCAACTTTCTCCTCGACCTCCTCCGGTGTTGAATCTGCATTCTCTGCAATAACTTCAAAAAAGCACATCCTCATGGGTATGGTGGTAGCTTCCCAGAAACGTGCCAAACCGAAACTCACAATATCACCATGAGCCAGTACTTTGTTTTCGCATGGTGGTAAAGCTAGTCCATTAACGAATGTTCCAGCATTACTCTACAAGAGAACAATTCGGTAATTGAATGTGGAAATTAATTAGCCAGACAAAACCCCAAACTTACGTTTAGATCTCTGACCATCAGGTTTCCATACATGTTGACTACAAAAGCAGCGTGTCGAGGAGATAAAGACCCCCATCTGAGACACAAACTGCAGTCAATACTTCGCCCTACATCAGTTTGGGCTGAATTTTCTAACTCAATTATTGATCTGTTGAAGAATTGCCTCAAACTCCATTTTTCAGCACTCTGATGCGCCATAGTACACAAAAAACAAAAAGTTTCGATAAAAAAAATTACTCGATATAAAAATCGTTGAATCCGATTGACAATCACGGTTGCGACTGGTATTCGCGACTGATATTTTCGACTGATATAACACAAACACAATGTTCACAGTAAGATATTAAACATGTTGATAAGACCTGCAAAATTATGCATCAATGGCCAATTGTTCTAATAGCGATTAGCGACATACCTAAGTCTTACGATAGCATTTTTTTCTGAATAACTGATAAATTTTCATTGCTTATTAAAGGCATGTGGTTAACATTTTTATTTCTTATCTGGAGCAATAATCAATTAACAGCTCAGCGTCTTTTTAAACTGATACTTGATATTATTTGTTTATCTGGAAATATTTTAGCCTTCAAATCGTATACCCAAAAAAATATTACTGTTTCATTGACAATAAATGCAAGAAAAAAATTTGAGAGTGTTTTCGCGCCCTTTGTTATATTCAATATTTGAATAATTAATTATTTATTAGTGGTTCAGTATAAAAAGGAATTAAATATAAAAATATACTTCTAGAGTATTTTGCTTCACTTTAAATACATTTTGCATCAAAATAAAATTTTACGCAACTTCCTCATTCAGAAGACTGGAACAGAGGTCTATAGTCAAAACTATTTTTATTAGGTACATTCATTCTTGTTTTACTTGACAAATGTCAAAGTCAACTAAAAATTTTGGTAACAAAAATAATACATAATATAATCAAATATTCTCTATCACAGAGAGACGGATAATAATAATAATTTCAATTGATTGAGCCAATAACTTGGTGAAAATTGAAATCCATGGTTGGGAAGAAGTAAAATTAATTTCTAATTTTTATTATCATGTTTCACTACAGTGTAGCTTCAATTTTACTTCTTCCCAACCAATAATAATTCTGCCAAAAGATTTGTTTGGATAAAATCTGTATTGTTAGATTATTTGAGAAAAAATAAAGAGTTCTCTAACTAAACGAAAAATTTCCTCTTTTATAGGCAATGATCTGCATGGAAATTGTACTTGAACAGTTCTAACAAAAATAGAGTTAAAAAAACAACTTATTGCGCAAAATTACTAGTACTTCGATTAGCTACCTGAGCAGGTGAAGACATGGCTGAATTATCTGCACTCAGGTTTTTATTGAGAGGTTTGCCTCTCCCTCCCCTACGACCTCTACCCTTCTTACATCCCAGCCCTTGGGACTGTGAATCCCTCTTATCAGAGCCTCCTTCAAGAGTATCAGTTTTTGATGCAGCTATTTCTGACAGATAATACTCTTTCTCCTCACCATCCATAGCGTTGTCATTAGCTTCATTTTCTCTTCTGCCATTTTTCTGTTGTCCTTGTCCAAATCGTTGTTGTTTAGTTTGTTTAGGTCTGGTTCCTTGATGAACCGGAGATGTTTGGGTAATTATGCGTACAACATTTCCAACAGCCTTTGTACGACCCTCCCTAAATACCATTCTTTGTCCTGAAGTCATGTATTCTGGATGTTTTATGAATCTGAAGTGAATTAGAGCTTTGTCGCCGGTTCTGAGACAATCCTTTGACATTTTGATGATGCTTGCTGTTTGTCTAATACTTCCACAATGGACTGAAAGAAAGAATACAGGTTATTGATTTAAAGCTGAAAATGTATACCTCAATATAGATAATAATTGAAAATAGTCCTAACGAAAATTTGCAACAATCTTATTTTAAATAAAATGTCAGAAACAGAAGGTACACATGCATTGGATTGGATATACAGGGTGTTCCGAAATTAATGCACCAAATTTTCATGGCATATTCTACGTCGAAAATAAGCCCTATAGTACAGGGACCATACAGGATGATGTTCAACAAATTAGAGACAAGCTGAAATTTGGCAAGATACTTTATTTTAGGGTACTTAATACCCTCTGAAACCCCAGCGCCAAGGCGTTGAGCCTGTCACCCCAAAACCACCCCTTAGGTCGGGGGAAATCTACCTGTTTTTACAGTTTTGTTAATAACTCTAAAACTAAGGATTTCAGGAAAAATGTCAGGAGGGAAAAATTGAAGAGAAGAAAATTTCATACCAAATAGGTATACATCAATTCATTGTTCAGTAGTGTAGATATCAGGTATTTAATTAAGGGGATTTTTCTAAGAACCTCACTTATTTATTTATAACATTAAAACCATGCATTTTAGGGCGAATGCCGCCACGAGAAAATTTGCATAGGATTTTCTATAAAAGAGGCCCTTTTTATTATAAGGTATAAGAATACCATAAAGTGATATTGTAGTATTGTGGGTAGTCTGTTGGGTTAAATACATAATTATAACACAAAGTAAGCCAGAATGTTTATTATGCAGATACGAAAAAAATGTAGGGAATGTATCTTAAAAAGAGTCTTCTTCTACGTTCACATTTGTTAGGTTCATACAAGTAATGCCATTGCATTGGCCACATGCAATAGAGCAGCTAAAACTCATTCGCTTGCATATACCTGCAGGGTGTCCGAATTTGGACGCTTTTAATAGGAAACGTCAATTTCTGAGGGAGATACAAAAAAAAACACTTCACTCTGAGACTCAAATTTCATGAAATCTTGATAAACCATATTTTGATATCTTTAGCCGCTAGAGGGCGATTCTCGATTTTGAGCAATACCGTGAAACCTTTATAACTTTTTTGTTTATGAAAATAATTGATTTCCGTAAAAACTTTTAGGAAGCACTTTTTTACGCAGAACTCAGTGACGTTCTCGGTTTTTATTCTATTGGCCCCGATTTCGAGATATTGATGAAAGTTCGATTTTTTTCAATAAGACATCCTATATGTATATCAATAGCTCATTACAAAGCTCTGCTTTTGCTGATTTCAATGATACAAATTTTGATAGGTTTATCTAACAATTTTTGATAAAAATTCCGGTTTTTGTCATGAGAAACAATGTGTTAGAAATACACCTTTCTCATTTTCCTTGCAGATATGAAGTCCTTTTCCTCTGTAGCACACACATTGCGACTGCTGTGGTTACAATAAGATTATCCGCATCCATCAACAAATTTACAACATTTTTCCTAAAGAACGTAGGTATGAAGTTTGAAATTGCTTTTATTAGTGCTGTTTGACAAAAAATAAGGTCTTAGTAAAATTCTCTGTGGGTAATAATGAATAATGAAGTTGTAAGAGGTTACCAGAAAGAAGATGGTTCATTACGATTACGATATACAACAGTAAGTGGTTACGACCGATGAAACTGTTGATTATTTGATGGTTACATTTCACAATAGTTTTTATTCTATATTTCCACTAATAATTTATTACTGGCCGAAATGCGAAACAATGTTTTCTAGTGTGTCACGTTGAGTGTTAAGTCTATTTTTGAAAGAATTGATACTTGGAGCAGAAACTGTATCCTCAGATAGCACATTCCAGTAATAAACGATACTGGGAAGTTTGGCATTTCTTTCCTTCTCCAATTTTTTGCTATGACCTTTTAGCTGTGTATATGTATTTGCATGAAATATATTAAGGTTTGTTTGGTAATATGGCAGCAATATCTTGTATGTCTCTATAAGGTCTCCTCTCAAACGTCTTTCCATTAGTGTTGTTAGATTTAGCCTCCTCAGTCTTTCAGGGTATTCCAAGTATGCCAATTCTACTGGGATTTTTTTGACCCGCATCTGAACTCTTTTTAAAAACTCTATATCTTTTGCAAAATATGGATTCCATATCGTCCCTCCATAGTCAAGTTTTGGTCTCTAATATAATTAATGTTTCATGCAATTGCATTATTGTTTCTATGAATCTATCTGAGAAGGCTTTTTGAATGCAGTAAATGAGAGCGGTTGACTTTTTTACAACTATGTTGACATCCAACTCCCATTTTAAATCTGAGGTCATAATAATGCCAAGATCATTTTGTTGGTCAACATGAGTTAAAGATGTGTTGTTTAGTTGGTAGTTGTGGACGGTTCTATTCGTTCCTATGCTAAGTACTGTACATTTCTCCTCGTTGAGTTCCATGCCCCATATTTTGGTCCATTTTTCTATTTTTTTAAGGTCTTCTTGGAGCTGTCTATGGTTTTTCGAATTTGAGAATAATTTGGCGTCATCAGCAAAAAATATAATAAAAGTTTGTATTTGCATAGATAAATCGCTAATGTACAATAAAAAGAATATAGGACCAACCACTGTTTCTTGAGCAATACCACTGAGACATGTATGTATGGTTGATAGCTTGCCATTTATCCTGACTCGAAAAGTTCTTTTTGTCAAGAAGATTGATAGGCATCGCCATCAATACCATAGTGATCCATTTTGTGTAATTTTTTTTTAAAAGGTACTTCATCAAACGCTTTTTCAAAATCCAAATAAATGACATCAACCTGTTCACTTCTGTCAAAACTTTGAGTCCACGAGTTGATGCATGTTGTTAAGTTAGTCTTGGTTGATCTTTTTGGTAAAAATCCATGCTGATGTTCTGTTATAGCGTTGTTTTCAAGAAGAAACGGAGTTAGTTCTTTGGCAATTACTTTCTTGAAGCATTTACTTATGTTGGATGTTAGGCTTATTGGTCTGTAGTTCGAGGGTAACTGCTTATCGCCCTTTTTATATAATGGGGTTACGATTGCATGCGTCTATTTATGCGGTAATCTTCCATTCATCAATATTTCATTAAATGCTTCTGCCAATGTTTTACTGATACAGTTAATACATTTTTGAAGAAATATTACACGTATGTCATCGGGGCCAGGGCTAGTGTCAGTTTTTAGGCTTCTTATGGCTACAGAAACGTTTTCTTCAGTGAAGAGAATTGTTCTTAATCTGTTACGATTTTTTATACTGTCTGAAAGCGAGGGGAGCGTGCTGAGAGTAAACTTTTGTGAATTGTTCTGCAAAATTTTCAGCTATTTCAGAGTCATCAGTTATTAAAATATCCGAGTTTTTTAAGTTAATTTTGGAAACATTTGAAATGAGACTGCGTTTGACATATTTTAAAAACTGCTTATTGTTAGGCTAGGAAGTTTTTTTCTCGAATTCGCTTCTAGAGATTCTTATTTTGTTCTTAAGTTGATTATTGTGGGTCCTATAGATCCTTTATTTTTCCTCTGAGGGTGATTTTGAACAGCCATCCCATAGATTTCTCTTTTTGTCTATCTCCTTAAAATAGGTGATCGTTCAACCATGGTTTTTTTAGATTTACTTTGGATGTTGTTAGACGAATACATTTTGAAATTGCATCTTCGATTATGTTAATGCATGTCATATTTATTTGATGAATGCTGGTTAGAGTTGAAGTTCTGCTGGCCTAGAAAAAGGTTAATTTGATCATAGTCCGCCTTCCAGAAGTTTATTTTTGTGACTTTTTGCGTTAATCTTTCTTTGCACTTCAATTGAAATTTTGCAGTAATTACTATATGAATGTCAAAGAGTAATTTTTTGTCGTTTACTAGGATGAGATCTAGCAAGGACCTCTGATCATTCCGAAATCTCGTTGGGAAGTTGACTAGTTGGTAAGCATTCATTTGATGGTAGTTATCAAGGAAGATTTCATTTAGTTTGTCTGATTTTGCTAGATTAAGGTTTTTCCAGTTTATTTGTGGATAATTGAAGTCGCCGACTATGTACACAGGTATTTACAGGGAACAGGCTTCTATAAAAGCTGTTATTATTTCAGTGTCAGTTTGTTCGGTTGAATAATCAGTTCTGTATACACAGCAAAGTAATAGCTTTAGGTTGTCAATTTTTAGTTCATCCCAAAGAGATTCAACTGGGGGTGAAGTTTTAAATTTTTTGGATATGCATGCATGAATTCTGTGGCCACAAACCTCTTCCTTAATATATATACATTCCCCCCCCCCCCCCCCCCCCCCCCTCCAGCCTGTCCTCTGTCCCGCCTAAATAAGGCTAACCAGCCAAATCAATGACTGTATATTTGTGTACCATAGGCAGACTTCAATTGTGTTATTTTTTTAGTTTTTTGTGGCGTTTGTGTTAGTAACAACAATTCTAGGGATGGAGTTAACATACTTTATTTTGAGATTTAATTCGCCCCCTTCTGTTGGTTTTTTAAGCTGTTCAAGTGTTTCTTTGCATAGGTGTTTGGTCTGCTTTTCTTGCGATTTAAGAGTGGGTACAAGATTAGTGGTTTCAATGACCTTCTTTAGATTGGATTCAATTATTTCAATTTTGTGTTGAACTCTAGGAAGCTCCAAGAAAGGTTGAATGCATTTTGGGCATTAATAGGAGATTACCCTTTCATGATTATAGAAAAACAATGAGGTCCTTTTTTTCTTTACAAAATCCCTCGATGCGTTTCGGCTATTGCCATTATCAAGAGGAATTTTTCCAATTAAACAAATTGAGACATTCTGGTCAGAATCACAGTAGGAAGAGGGAACGGTTTTTTTTTTCTTATAAAACTATTGGACGAACAAATCAAAAAACAAGAAAGAAACATACACTACATATTAAAATTTAAAATTTTTACTCTTTTAAAAAAGCAAAAGGCAAAACAGCTGTGTCATGAATAATATTTTTATTATTCATCTTTTATACATGCCCATTTTGAAGTCATAAATAAATAAGTGGGGTTTTTACAAAAATCCCCGTAATTGAATACTTGATATCCACGCCACTGAACATCAAATTTTCTTCTCTACAATTTTTCTTTCCTGACATTTTTTCCTAAAATGCTTTGTTTTACAGTCATTGAGGTAAATGTAAAAAAAGGTAGATTTCACCCGACTCAACGGGTGATTTTTGGGAGACGGGCTTAACGCCTCGGCTCTAGGGTGTCAGAAGGTATTTAGTACCCTAAAACAAAGTCTCTCGCCAAATTTCAGCTTGTCTTAATTTGCTGAACGTTACCCATATAAAACGATGGATAGGCCCTGCCCTGTAATACTAGTTTCCTATATTAAACATATGTCCAGAAACGCTTCCTTTCTGAGATACAGGGTGTTGAGATTCTAAGAAAAAAACTATTTTTTTATCATAATTTTCAAACCACTCTAAATATTTCATTGAAATCTTGAACACTGCTTTCAAGCAGCAAAAGATATTTTTTGATATAAAATATTTTTGAAAAAAATTACCAGTGACATCCGTACCAAATACGGAAAAAAGTGAAACGATAGGTTTTGTTCGAAATTGAATGGGGATTTTAAAATGAATTTTTATTTCAGGAAAAAGCAGTGGCGCACCATTTTTTTCTTTAAAAATATTCCATACAAATCTCGTACGGACGTCACTGGTAATTTTTTCAAAAAATAAATTTGCATCAAAAAAATGTCTTTTGCTACTTGAAAGCAGTGTACAAAATTTCAATGAAATATCTAGAGTGGTTTGGAAATTATGATGAAAAAAATTTTTTTTTTCTTGGAATTCCAACACCCTGTATCTCGGAAAGGAAGCGTTTTCGGACATATGTTTATATAGGAATCTAGGGCTTATTGTCGACTTAGAATATGCAATAATTTCGGAACACCCTGTACAGGGTGTCCCACTAAGGTCGACGAGATACGATATTATGGAAACCATAGATCTTACATAACTGGAAAACGAATGCAGATATCGAATTGCGGTTTGCGCCAAAATGTAGATATTTTTTTGCTCTTCAAGCACAGCAATACAAAAATAGTTTCATGCCATTTGGATTTTTCAAGAAAATTAGAAAAAACTGGATCTTGCTTGAACAGCGCCCTCTAGAAGATGCGGTGAAAACTATCGACCCCGAACGAAGTGAGGTTCTGAATAACAATGAAATTCTCTTTCAAATGTGCCCAAATTGAATGAGTTTGGATAAGGGGTATTGAAGATACAGGAATTTTTAAAACTATTTTTTTCACCAGCTTTCCCCACCCTTATTGTTGAAGATACGAAAAAAGTCTAATAACAAAACTGGCACAAAAATTAATGGACTTTTGATTTCTGTTGTTAAAACAGTATCTCAATATACCCAGCGATTTCTTGAGAAAATTTGAATTTTTATATCATTGTAATTGCGCCCCCAAGCGGTCATCTTAGGAACTTGAAAAAAAATTCCATCAATTTCTTTGGTCTATGTTCTCCATGATATCGTACCTTGCCGACCCGGGACACCCTGTATAACCCACCACAAACAACTCATATGTGGTAACAATCAATCTAAACAAATTATGGCGAGTAGGACAGATTCAAATTATATTTAAAATTAGGATCAGGCTGCTAAGAATTCCTAGCAGCAGTGACTCAAGAAAGTATCAGTAGAATATGGAATAAAAAAAGCGAGAAAAAAGGCAACTTTCAGAAGTGGACTATTTGTGATAATCAAATAGATACCTAGTAAAAAATAACTGCTATTAATTTTGAGTTTGTACCAATATAGTAAAACTACCAAGGAAACTACATAGGCTCGTTATTGTGATCTTTTTAAAACTAAAGGTGGGTTAAATACTGAAAGTGGCCACAAAAACGACATGAACTCTAATTCTTGGAATATAGGTATGTTCTTAACAGAGTTCTTGATACGCTATTTGGTTTAATTGAGACTTTATTTAAAAATTAAAATAACGCTATTCAAAAAAAATTAGCTTGTTAGAAATTTGTCCAAGTCAGAACATTTTTGTTACGCTATAAGCCAAACTAAGTGTTCAAATATTTATGCCAGCTTACCCATTGCCTGGTATCGGGAACTGATAGTGGTTGGATGATGCAGTACCAATATTTCTCCCTCGAATTCCCAACATGACTGTGGATTAAGAGCTGGGGACACCATGACCATACCTTTACGAAGTTGAGACCTTTTCACCTAAACAGACAATTAATATTTTTTTTATCTACGCCATTCTATTTGACAGGACATCAAGTGCCCTCACATGTTTAATGAATTACTGTTTTCGTTAATCAACAAAAAAAAAATGCCATTCGTCTGCACCCTTCTTGGAAAATTGAAAGCTCTTCAAAATTTGTATTATGGGGTTTTCAAACAATTATTATATTCTGCTTATTATGATTACCTGTTCATATATAAATTTATATGAAGTCTCCTCCCTATTCTTAGCAAGTTATATTTGGCTTTCAGATATGATTGGCATACGTAGCATCATCCTTGGAAATTTGGCAGGTTGACCCTCGTATAATAACGACATTATATGTCAAATTCCAGACAGTTTTAAGTGTGTTTTACATAATTTCGTAAGTGTCGCGGTATTAAAATTCTCTGGTTTATCTCGCCAATCAAATTTAACACATTTTTCAATAGTGCAATATATAAATGGTACCTTACTATTTTACATACCTGCAAAATCTATCGACATTTTTTAAAAGTTGGCATTGTCAAATTTATTTCATATTCAAACCCATTTCGCAAAAGAAATTAAGGAAAATAATAAAATGTTACGGCTATTTCGAGGAAAACAAACCGGAGGTTCTTCATGGAATAATAATTGAAGCCCAACTACCAGATATATTTGGTGTAGGTGTAGGTGTAGTTTAAATGTAGATGTAATGCCATTTCTTACAACCAGCAATCAATATTATTGTTGGACTAAAACTGGAAAAAAAAGTTACTGCAAAAACATACTTATGCTGTTAAGCTTACTGGTATGGTTTGCGAATAATTGGGAACTGGTCAATCAATAATTATTGTTTATTAACTCTTTTTACAATGCTTAGCTTTCGGAGCTTTTTGCTCCTTCTTCAAGGGTATAATATTAAAAAGAATATAATTATCAATTATTATCCATAAAAATAACTTACTGGTATGGTTACATAGGATTTATTTTATTCCAAATCATTTAAATAATTTTACTACCCAATTTTTTTTTTAAAATCAATTTGGAAAAATATTTTGAAAATGAATCTACTCAGATATATTACACATTCTGTCTGGTAACTCGGCTTTCTATTTCATTCAAAAATACTTTGTCATCAAATGTCATTATTATACAAAGGTCAACCTGCCAAAAATCTGATGCCTGTATGCAACTATAAAGTTTTCAAAATTTTGAATTAACATATATCTAATTTAAAATCTTTCAACCCACTCCCCATATTTTTGCCATTATAGACATTCCTAGAAAACCAAAGTTAGAATAATCCCTAATTTGGTGCTGTTCAACAATGACATACAAATGCTAATAAATTCGAAGCGCTGCTGATAATACTCATGATACATTAAAAGCTTTGGAAATTGTGGCACTTTACTATTATTATGTAAGATCTGTCAAGAAATTTATATTTGAAAAATGTACCTTCTTAAGTGCAAAACTGGCAGTCTGTCCTGCCCTAACTTCCTTCACAGCCATTCTCTTCCTGTGGATGCTTTTCACTGAAATGGGTATAAAATGTCCCAATGGATCTGGTCCCAACATAAGCGTGTCATTTAATTTTATCACTCCCTTCAAAGTTGTTCCCGATACAACTGTTCCCACTCCAGGAACAGAATAAGTGTCATCAATCTGAAATTCTGCAGGTTCATTTTCGTGGTATTCCATTTTCGTTGTTAGCAAATTCAAGAAGGTTTTTAATATGCCTAAGTTTTCACCGGTCACATTAGAGACTTGGAAAATGGGACATAGCCTTTCTGATACAAAGTTTGTGGCGCTGAGAACCACATCGTCGGAAGATTTAACCATAACAGGTACTTTTCTGCACCCAGGGGACTTCAGGATTTTCACCAGCATTTTCAAGTTATCCTGTAAAACTTTTGCTGGGCACATATCGATTTTAGTAACAACTACAAATACTGGCACTGACAATGCTAGGGCTAAACCCAAATGTTCCTTTGTCATTCCAATAATACCTGCATTGGCACCAACCTTAAAATATATATTTTTATTATTCAATTCAACAATATGTTTCAGAAACTACCATCAGCATTCCAAAATCTGGAGCATGTCCTGTCATACCGAAAACAGTAGTTTTCAAATACCTCTCGTGACCAGCTAAGTCAATGAACGTGATTACTTTAGAGCTCTTTTCACAAATTTTCACCCAGTCCAATGAGCCATGCTCAGGTTTATTTACCACATTTCCTACAAAAAAAGCATGTATCGTTGATTCAAAGTTGCTGCAAACACTTACCTTCACTATCAAATCCAAGAATATCATTTCCCACTGAGCTTGTCCTTCCAGACTCCATTTCGTGTTTATGTCGAAATAGTTTCTGCCTAGCTGTTCCTCGACCAGTATCTAACTCTCCATGAGTCAAAACGCCCAATAATGTAGATTTTCCTGCATCTACATTTCCTACAACTGCTACACGAATTTCCAAAAAGTCACTTTGATCCAAAACCTTTCTTATTAAATATTGCACAACCACTCCCCTAGTTTCTTTTCGTTCACGTAGCCTAACACAACTGCAACTCAAACTACGGGCCAGAGAATGCAAGGTAGCCTCAGCTGGTCCAAGTTCATCATCTAACAGTCCATTTTCACTGCCATCTTCAGAAGCACCAAGTTCAAGTATAACTTCACCACGGCCTTCTCCAAGTTGCTGTTTTAGTCTTTTCGCCAGCAATTCGTACTGCTCCTCGGTGGGAGCCACTAGAACGTTTCGACCAAGAATTTTGTCATACTCGGCGCATTTTGGGCTTGTCTTTTCAACGAATGAGCTTAGGGATTCCTTCGAAGGTTCCTTCTGTTCTGCCATTGTATCTAGACAGAAAATAAAGGAGTTTGAGTATGAGGTTTACATTATATCCTTCTAAAATCTAATATCGACTTATGATCAAGTTATTTGAAATTAAATTTGTTTTTGCCTTATTGATATTGTCGGGAGTTAGCAAAGGGCAGAAAAATAATTCTCCGCCTATAGTTACAACTTCCCTATGGCTTCCCTAGTATCAACAGTTCCAGTTGAACCCTTCTCTGTATAAATGGTGGGATTTTGGAAGTTGACGTAGTACCAATGGGAGGACAACAGGATTACATCTAGGAGACTCGGGATGTGTATGAGGGGCGAGTTTTCCGCTAGCATTATTGCAGACTAAGCTTGAAATGTGCTAAGTCAGCCCTAATTTTATGATTGTCTCTCTCTAACTTATGTTTTAGGGATTAAACATGGTAATTATCAAATTTGTACAAATTGTAACAAATCATGGTACAACACTGAAGGTAGGATAGTGAAGGTAATTTTCCTCATGGAAATTTTGTATAAAAATGCATGTTGGCATAAAGTGGGGAGCTCTTACTTAACTCTTCAAGGGCAGAAAGTTACTCTGCTGGTTTGCATTTTAAAATTGAAAGTTACTCTGCTGATTAGCATTTTCAAATTAGTCTCTCAGTTAAAACAACTTAAACAAGAGATGGAAGCCTACAACTTTATTCCTAAAAAGATCTACTTTCCGGCAACACCGTGAGTGGTATTTTATTTATTATTTTTTCTCAAATTGTAAGATTTAGAAGTTACATATTTTTGTCTTATATTTAATCCTATTATTTTAGCAAGTAAGAACTTTATTGAAGCTCATGATTATCTTTATTATTTAAATTCAATATCCAATTTTCTATCAATTAATTATATTTATTATTTTTCGCTTCGCTCATCTTATAGAAATAAATTTGATTTAAAACTGATTATCTATCTAGTTTCTTTTGAATTAATGGTCATCAGAAGTCCTGAGTAGAGAAATCAAGGAAGATCTTGGTAAGAAAATATAAAAGTATTTTTTCACTTTAGGATCGGATTTCAAGGTTTATCGAAATTGGAAAATTATGTGTGAAAATAGTGGAGGTGGTAAACCTAATGTGCAGTTTAGGATATCATCAAGCCTTGAAGAAGCCATAAGAAATCATCCTTTTTCACTGGGAAGCGAATTAACAGCAGCTGATATAAATGAAATTGTATTGGGCGCCAAGCTCAACACAGATATTCCAAGAAGCAAAATAGTGAGTGAGATAACACAAAGTAAACAAACAACCCAATCGTCGCTACCAGGGTCATCCAAGAACGTTTCGAGTGCGGAACATAACAATGGATATGAAGATGTATTTAGACCAAAAAATTGTGCCAACAGAACATCGACAAAAACTAGTAGTGAGGAAAATGCTGTAAAAAATATAGAAGCAGCACCTGTAGACCAAAATCCAAACAAAAGGAAAAGATCTGACACAAGTATACCAGAAGAAAATCCCCAGAAATGGCAGTGTGATGATGGAAAAAAATCTGAAAATATAGATTTGCATGACAGGCTCTTTGACAAATGACTGTATATCTGAAAAAATCATATACCAGTTTTATCAGATTTTACAGGAAATATCAGAGATAATGGATAAGAAAAAATAACAAAACACAAACATACAAATTACAACTGAAGAATAAAAAATTGCTACATTAACTTGAGCAGCATTTTTACAAAAATGATATTCAAAACTGGAGAAATACAGAAAGAAAACATGATGCTTCAATTTAGACTTCAACAAAGCAATATACAGGATAAATTTGAAATGGAGGAAAATAATGAACGATAAACATATGCGAAAATAGTTAACAAATCTTCAACAACAATAAGAGAAACCCCAGCAGAACAAAAAGATGAAAAATGGACAACACCGAAAAAAACAAAAAGACATGAAACGGTTATTAGTTAACAACCAAAATGACCCTAAAGAAGCCATGAAAACGTTGAAAGCCCAGATAAAATTGAAAGAAGTAGGCAAAGCATTCTAGAACATAAGGCAAACGAGAAGTGGAGCAATAATTGTGGAAAGCATTGACCAGAGTCAAAATGAGAAGTTAAAAAAAAGTTGTAAGCACAATGACCAACATGAAAATCAAAGAAAACGTCAGCACAAATCCCACTTTCATGATAACTGGCATAGAAAAGGGTTTTTCTGATGAAGAGTTTGTTGAAGAATTAGAAAAGTTGAATTATGAAATTGTGGAAGATTTACGAATGACAATAAAGGACAAAATTAAAGTAATAGCACAAAGACAACGCTGTAACCCCTCCAGGGAAAATTGGATCCTTCAAGCACCTCCAAAAATAGCAAAATGGTTTTTGAAAAGGGGTAAGATATTTTTTGACTTGGTAACTGTGTATGTATACAAACATCTAAATCTGGCAATGTGTTTCAAATGTTCGGGTTTCGATCATGTTTCTAGGTACTGGAAAGAGAAACAATGCTGTGCAAAATGTGGAGGAGACCATCCAATAGCCGACTGTGAAGAAGCAAATCTCACATGCCCAAACTGTCAAAAAATGAAGTTAGAAGAAGTGAATCATTCAGCCAGAGATCCAAATTGTCCAATATACCAGAGAAGACTTTTCAGGTATAGAAACAATATAAATTATAGTGATGATTTTTTAAAGAGAATAACAAACAGGTCACAAACAAAGAGCATAACACTTCAAATAAGATCTCTATTATACCCCAGAATGTTCAATCATTAGGAAATGCAATTGATCCAGTGAACGATTTGGTAAGAGGACATACGAACTGCAAATTTCTCTGCATTACAGAGCACTGGAGATTATCTGAGCAGCTGAAGTATTATCCATTAAAAACTTTAGACTAGGAGCTAGTTATTGTAGAGGGGCTGGACATCATGGAGAGAGTGCTGTGTATGTACATAAAAGTATCAACTATCAAATGCGAAAAAAAATTAATAAACTGTTGATAATAAATGACTTTGAATGTGCTTCAATTGAGTGCATGGTGAATAGTTCCAAAATGATTATTATCTCTCTGTACAGGCCGCCTAGTGGTACGGCATTTCTTTTTATATATGTATGTTTTTATGTACCACGTACAGGAAATGTATCTTTTTATGATTTGAAATAAAGAATTTATTATTATTATCATTATTTCTAACAAAAGTCCGACCCGACAATTGGTGGAGGCGCACCTTGCTTTCTAATTTTTTCAAAATTTGTTGCTTGTATAATTTATTTTTTATTGTTGTTATCTTGTCATTTTAATTTTTTTTTGTTATTTTAAATTTTCATGTCTTCTGGTGAAAAAGAACCAGATAAAAATAAAAGAGTTTTACGAAGCACAGCGAAACAAGGTCCAAAACATCCCACACTTACAATAAATTTACCACCCAGGTGGAACTATTGCTAATAGGTCTAAAGATATTATTTCTACCAGTAGTAACAGCAGCAATAGTCCTTCTGAAAATACTTTAGAAAATATATTTATTCCAAAGTGTAGGAGTACAGGAATTAACTCAGGTGAAACTGATAAGGAACTTTCTGCCGAATTATCTAAACTTCAAGTAAGAACCCCACCTGATTTACTTTCTGATCAAATAGAATTAACAGACACTCTACTTTAACTCCAAATACAAGTATTTTAGAAATTAGTGATATCTCTATTAAAAATTTAAATTTATCAATTGATATGGCTGACATAACTATTTCGTCAGTTAGAAATGAGTCTTGCGAACCAGCTTTGCCAAAATTTATATCGCCAGATTTACTTGATCCTACAGAAAATAATGCACACGATTTTATTAAAAATTTTGAAAGATGCGCGATCATTAAACATACCTAAGTTATTATATTTTGGTAGTTTTTTATTAAATGCGGCTAATATGTGGTACAGCAGATAAAAAGCAAATAATGCAAACGCAAATAAAAAATGGCCAAACATTGAAAAAGATTTTTGTTCAGAATTTGCATCTCAGCAAATCAAGAACTAAAGCTTTGCCTGATATCTGCAAAACAAAAAGAAAATGAAGATATAAAATCATATTATTATAGAATTCTTAATCTTTGTAATGAGTATGATCCAAACATGACTTTTGACATGATTTTAGAAAATTTTGAAAATGGGTTACATTCAAATTTACTGACAAATTATTATTTATCACAAGAAAATCCTCCTTCAAATTTAGAAGATTTAGCAAAATTAGTAAACAGACTAAGTGAAATTCATAAAATAACCTCGGTTACCAAATCTTTTTCTGAAGTTTTGACTCTTGCCGAACAAGGAAGCTCGAGTAGCCCTTTCAAAGGCAGGCCAAAAAATAATTATTTGCAAAATTTCACACAACGAAATCAACAAGTTGTCTATAAACAAAATAATAAACGGAATTTTTCAGGACCTAAAAAATTTCCACAAAGTTCTAATGGCTCAAATCCTACTCGATTTGTAAATAGGAAGAAATTTAATAATAATTTTAGGAATTCTAAAAGCCGTACTCATGATGGTAGGCCAATTTGTTATAATTGTAGGAAAAAAGGTCACATGCAAGTTACTTGTAGATTACCTAGGTACAACAATAATCGCACTCCTAGTAATTCTCAAACACCCAGAACAAGCAACTTTCTAGCTTTAATGGATGTCGAAAATCCTGAACAAAATGATTCTGATTCTAAAAATTGTCGCCCATGCCATTGTCAGTCTCAACATGATGCTAATTGTAATAAAATGTCAGAAAACAACCCAAACGATGAAGCGGGGTGCCGTTAATAACTTTTTCCAATGACACCCCTACACCCTTTGTTACCGAACACTTGCAACAAGACGTTTAATAAATAATCTTCACTGCCAAAAAAATTTTTTGATCGAAGGGACATACAGTTCAAAAATATTAGTATTATAATTGATACTGGAGCATTTCAAAATATAGCATCCGAAGAGTATTTTCCAAATTACCAGTCTTTTAAATTAGGAGCTAGATGCTTGGAAACTGCAGATAAT